GGAAGCGTGATATAGTAGAGAGAACACTGATTTGGAGTTAGGGAAGATGTTAGTTCAGATCTCACTTCTGTTACTTACTAGCTGTATGACTTTAGACATGTTACTTCCCTAGTCTAAGTCTCAGTTTCCTCATGTGTGAAAGGAAACACAATCTTTAAAGACCTTTCCAAGCTCTAAATCCTGTAATTCTGTCACATACTGATCCATTCCCCAGAGACAGACTGAACCCTAAACCTGGTTATAGACGGAACTCAGACTGTTGAGACAGGTTGACTCGTATCTCTGGTCATAGACTTATGGCGAACAACTAGGTACCAATGTCAGACAAGTCAGTCTCTTTGGAGGTCAAAGAATTATGAACTCATCAGTGCTGAAAGGTTCTGTAGATCATTTAGTTCAACTTGCTCATTTTACAGATGAAGAAAATAAGATTTAGAGGACTAAACAACTTGCCCAAGGTCACACAGCTATTCAGTATAGTCATATGTCTAGAGGTGTCATCCCCTTAAGGAATGGGGCCACAAAGGGAACGTCCCCCCTGTATACTTTGGTCTCACTATCCAAGGCTTTCAGGAGCTGAGCAACAACCTCTCACTGACTTCCAATAGCAAATCAATAAATTTATCAACCTGAAAGGTATAGAGCTCTTAAGCCAGCAAGAATGGAAGATAAGAAAAGAATTTCCAAGACAGGAAATTTCCATTGGTCACTGGGAGGGTGGGGATGGCAAGGATAAGACCCTATTCTCTTTCCCAGATTGGCCAATCTCATCATTTCTCTCCCCCCAACATACTACGTGACCCTTTTCTACTTCTGTATCTTGTTTCATGCCATCTATCTCTGCCTGAAATGCCTTTCCTCTCATAGAATCACAGAATTTCAGAGTTGAAAGTATCCTCAGTGGGCATGTAAGTTCAACCTCTCCTCAAAAAGGAATCCTCACTGTAACATACACAAGTAGTCATCCAGACATTGCTTAAACACTTCCAGTGAAGGGGAACATAGCATTCCCCAAGGCAGCCCTCCTGGATAACTCTAATTGTTAGGAAATTTTCCTTGATATCAAATCTAAATTTTTTTCCTTGAAAAGCCTACACAGTGCTCATAGTCCTGTGCTCTGAGACCAAACAGAACAAGTCTAATGTTTTTTCTACATGACAGCCTTTCAAGTATTTGAAAATAGTTATTACATCTCGTGTGAGACTTCTAATCTCTAGTACCTTTCACCATCCTGTCTGCTCTCCTTGGGATGCTTTCCAGCTTTTCAATGTCCTTCCTGAAATGTGGAGCCCATACCAATACACTGTTAACAGAGTGAATTGTGTGATGGAGTGTGATGGAGTAAATTGATCTAACTATTGTGGAAAACAATCAGGAATTATGCTTTAAAAAGGGGGGGGCAGGAGAAATTGGGAACGATAATGTCTATTATACCCTTAGATCCAGAGATCACACTGCTAGGCATATACCCCAAGGAGTTCAAAGATAGAAATAAAGATTCCAGATATACCAAAATATTCACAGCAGCACTTTGCACGGTAGCAAAAACTGCAAATTAAGTAGATGGGGAAGGGGAGAGGCAGGAAAACAAATCACAGTGTCTGGACCTAACTAACAGAACATTATTTCACCAAACAACTATAAAGAATTCAGAGGAAGATGGAAAGACATAGGAACTAAGGCACAGTGAAGTAAGAGAACCAAGAGAAAAACCAAACAATAACTATGATAATGTAAATAGAAAGATTAAGAAAATGAAGTTAAATTCTGTGTAATTAAAATGGTCAAGCTTGGCCCCAGAGAAGAGTTGAGAAAATGCAACTCCCTCCCTCATTTCTGGAAGTAAAAGATCACAGGTGGGGAATAGTGCATGTCCTTTAAGTCACAGTTGCCCTGTTGGCTGGTTTTGGTGAACACTATTTTTCTTTTTTCTTTTTAAATCTTTGGTACCATGTTTGGCTTGCTGGGTAGGGGAAAGAAGAGGGAGAGAGATGTTCACAAACAAAGGTGATGCATAAACAAAAGGTATCAATAAAATAAGAGAATTTATTTTCAAAATAGCTTTGTAAAACCTGTTTTAAAAAACCTATATTATATAAAAGTGAATTATAGTTCTAAAAAATGTGGTGCCTAAAACTGAATATAATACTACAGATGTCATCTAGCTGAGTACAAGAGGAGGCTCAGCTCCTTGTTCCTAGAAGATGCCTGTCTTCATTTGGCTGCGATGGCTTTGCTGCCTGCCACATCACACTGCTGACTCTTGTTGTGCAGGCTCTTCCACTCTACCTATTCCAACCCTCCTGTTCCTTCAAGGCCCATCTCTGGCCCTAAACTCCTCCAGGAAGCCTGCCCTGACTCCTCCAACCCACACCTAATTCTCCCTCCTCATAACTCCTCACTTACAATACGCTATCTGTTCTGTATTGTTCTCTTTCTCTTATCTGTGTCATATCTTCCCAACTAGACTCTGCTTTCAGAGGCAGAGGCTGATGGATCCCATAGCCTGGGATCTAACATAGTGGGGGTACCATGGTCGCCAGAGCATGCTCCTGTCATTTTCCAAGCAGTTATAACGCCTTTGTAGAGTTGATAAGAATACTTGAAAGACTACTCCACAAGGGTCTTCTTATGGCATAGTGACACTAGATTAACTCCCCTGGCTTTGAACTCCACTGTACTGCTTTGAACTCCACATCTTACCTCCCATCTCATCCCTTTGGCTTTTGTTACCCATCAACTTATTATGTATTACCCATCAACTTTCAGTTGGACAACATACAGACTAGTTTACTCTCTCTCAGATTTTGACTCTGATCAACCTTTCTTAACTCCCACAAGTATTTCTAGGGCCCTGATGACTGTCCTTAACCACCAGTACTATTCTCTGGCCCCACCCCCTCTTCCCCCTACCTCCTCACAAAGTCTAGTATCCAACCACATCTTCTTTTATGTTCAATCCAATACCAAGATTATTTAGTGCCTATGAGGTTATTGTGTGCAAAGAACCATTCCAGGTACTGAGGATAGAAAGATAAAACAAAAAACAGTCGTTGCCTGCAATGAACTTATATTCTACTGAACAATATAGCATAGTATAGTCTAAAACATGGGGTTGGCACACCATATATTTTCAATAAAGTGAAGTGGGATAGGATGAGGTAGATTAGAATTAAATGGAGTGGCTTATTACAGTGAAGGAGAGTTGAGCTAAATAGAATGCCTTTGAATGGATTAGAGTGGGATGAAGTGGTTAGGTAAAAGCAGAGTGGGCAGTGGAGTGAGGTCAACAAGTCAGCTCAGTAAGTGAATTCATTTGGAGTAGCGGCAGGAGTATGTTGGTAAATATTTAACCTGGAGGGGGAGAAATGTATACAGGACACATTTTTAATTTTAATCTGAATTATTAACATTTTCCCATCACTTTCTTAAATCTAGACAATCAACAAAACAATAAATCAAGCCCTGATTTTCAACATTTGCCAATTTCCAAGGTATGAACGCTTATACTGAAAAGATGACAACTGGCTAGCTGGCTCCAGCACATCCCTAAGTAAAGGGGAATGGCTTGGCTTGTGGGACCTTGGGGAAAGCCCCTGAACTTCCTCTGGGCCTCAGTTACCTCATTTATAAAATGAGGGGGCTGGACTAAATGGCTTCCGAATTTCCTTCCAGCTCCACTTCTATGATCCTATGGAATGAGAGGGACTTTTTAGTTAATTGAGTAAAGTGTCTTGGAGTAGAATGGAGGGGGGCAAAATTGACTGGAGTGGATTGGAACGAAGTTGAGCATAGAATTTAATTAAATTGAGTGGAATGGAGTAGCCCAAGTCCCAGGCCAAAGAGGACAAGCCTCAGGTAATGGAGTGACAGAGAATGTAGGCTAGATGGCATCGAAGACAAACTGCTTAGTCGCCAGTTTTCCTGAAGGTCAGCTCCCTGAAGACAGAGAAGGGTCCAATGTGGCGTGTCGTAGTTATTACTGGGGGTAGCCTTTGGGAGACAGATGGGAGCCCCATAGAGAAGGGAAGACTGAACCATTGACCAAGAAGAGCAGAGAAACCATTGTTAGGAGCAGGAAGGGTCTGAGTCAAACAGGTATCCAAAGTCAGTGAGTGGAGGATGCAATGAGATTCCCCCCCCCGCCCCCACATCTCCCTCAATACCCTAACCAGGTGCCCCTAACACACAATCATACTAGGTAACTCTAATTATACCCCAACCAGGTAATTCAGCACTGGGAACTCCCAATTCCATTTTAATATGGTACTCCATAGAAGCACAGGTAGTCCTTATAATATCCTGGCGAGATAAAACAACTCACATTACCATTAGGTAGTCCCAGAATACACTCTAAAATGGTACTGCTAGCATACACTAGAACTATCTCTAAACAAAACACATTATAAACCCAATAACCCCAGCACCAGGTACCCTAAATTCATCCTAACCCAGCACTTCTAGCAATACACTCTAATTTAGTACCCCCCAAAATACATATGACTAATTACCTCTAGTCACATTGACTCCTGAAACCCCCAGCATGAACTATTAACAAGACTCTAACCACATTATGTGTAATGATAACAGCCAGAAAAGCAGCACACATTACAACCAGAAACACACACTATAACTGGGTACCCCTAATCATGCCCTAACTGAGCACTACAAGCACACTGTATCTAGACAACCCATGATCATACCCAGTTATCCCACTTACATCCTAACAAGGTGCCCTCTGGAATGCCATTCCCCCTTCCCCCAAACACGTACGGGGTAATCACTGCACACCCTTCAAGAATCACAGCAGCTCACAGCCAGTCACTAGAAACTCCAGGCTTTGCTGTCCCCATTACATCTTCTCCCTTGTCCCAGTTTCCCTCAAGGGAAAACTCTGTCTCTGGCTTCTTCCTTCCAAAGAAAGTTGGGAGGGCTCCCTGGAATATGCATGTGTGCACTTCCTTTCCTCCCCCCTCCCCACACTTTCACCTCAGTCTCACCTCCACATCCTGGGTGTCCACAGTGCCTGAATGTCCTTGCCCCGGAGGCCTGTCTTTCCAATTCAAACCCAGGTGAGGCTCTCCACTCACTGCCTGGGGGCTCCCCCCATCATCAGGGCAAGGGAAAGGGGTCAGGCAGGAGGTGGTGAGCATGTTAAGTGATGTGTCTCACTCCTCTGCACACTTAGGCCGGTGTCCACCACCAGCTGCTGCTCAGGCCGCCTCCCTCTAGCTATTCCTTGGGAGCGGTAGAGGAAATGAGGAAACCTGCTTTGCTTTCTCCCACACCCCATACAGGCTGGCCTAGCCTCCCGCCCTACCTTGGGGGAGGAGGCCTGGCCTGAGGTGAGGGGGAGCAACTCAGGTATGCCTGCCTACCTCCTCCCCTTCTCACCCTGGAGGGGGTGGGACACCTCCCTCCCCCCAACTTCAGGAGGGCCCTTGCTGCGGTGTCATCACTAGGCTCTGTCCAGTCTCGCCCAGAAAGCCAGAAAAACGGCTTAGGGCCCTGCCAACGAGAGAACAGGAGGTGGGGGGGCTTAAGGGGGAAGAGGGATGGAGACCCTGATTCTCCACAAAAATACCTAGTAGTGTAGTATAAAAATTAAGAAAACTGGAGACCTGGATTCGAGTCTTCAGTTCTGATACTGGCCAAATCTTTTTACTCTGAACCTCAGTTTCTTCATTTGTTAAATGGAGATTATAATCCTTGCCCTATCTATTTCATAGGATTGTCATGAAGAAAGTTCAGTAGAAACTAAAGTTAGTGTTTCCTTCTATACCCCCAGACTGTGGCAAATTCCACACTAGCCATACCTCTGCACAGTGCTGTTAGAATGATGCTCAGCTCCTCCCACTCTCCCTCTTAGGCCCCCACAAAGCCCAGGAATAATGTTCCCCCCACCATCCCCATAAATTCCTTAATACCTGGAAGCAGCATGGTGTATTGGAAAGAATAGAGGATTTGAATCAGAGGTCCTAGGTTTGAATTCCTGTTATTATCTACATGACCTTGGGTAAGTCTCTTCCCTATTCTGTGCTTCAGTTTCCACATCTATAAAAATATAATATCTTACATTACATACATATAATATATAGAATATAATATCTTATAAAAATAAGATAGTTGGATTAGATGATCTCTAAGGTACCTTCTAAGTTTCAAATCCTATAATTCTGCAATCCTGGGGTGAAGGATCATGTAGCTCTGCCCCTCCCTGACTCAGGACAGGGACAGCACAGCTAAGAATACAAATGGGATCAAACAAGGAAGCCCAGGGCTGGGAAGTCAGGTGGTCAGACCTCTAAGCCTAGAGATACCTCTGACTGTCTACCCAGAAGGGAATCCTGGACTAGAGTCTCTAAGAAAGCAGTACAACCCTGTGTGGTCCAGATCCAGAGATCTCTGGGGCACAGGGTTAATGGGTAAGCCTGGAGTCTCACAGTCATGTACACAAATTCAGAGAAACACATACCTCAAGCTAGACCCAGAAGGACTGAGGCCAGCACAGACAATAGTCAGGAACCCAGGTAAGCTCAGACACAGACAGAAAAATGCAGATGGGGCCGTGTAGATGCAGAACACATGTGAAGACTTAGGATCCTGCACCCTTACAAATCACACATACTCACCAACACATCAATCTTGAGACATCAGCAGGCACATACAGAGCAGATACATGTGCAGTCTGTCTGTCTCTCCATATATGTATATGTGGACCACATATATACACCTACAGTCATTCACTTAGAGCTATAGGAAAGCATAGGGTCATCGAGTACAACCCCTGTATTATATAATAGTCTGTAATAATGTCTAATGGTGTCTTATCCTCCTCATAGACTGGGAACTTCACGAGAGCAGAGGCTACATATTACCTCAACTATGTATCTTTGCCCCAGCACTGAGCACTGGGATAGTAATCCTAGGGGTGGCTCTGTAAGTGTTTGTTAAATCAAACATCTTTTCTTTCCCAATAAGCTTGCTCAATCGATCAATAAGCATTTGTTAACAGATTGCTATGTGCCAGGCACTGAGGATACAAAGAATGATGCTGACAAGCTAACAGGGGAAACAACAAATACACTAAGTACATACAGAGTAAATACAATAAATACAAGGTGATCAGGGAGGGAGACCACTAACAGGTGTGTGTGTGTGTGTGTGTGTGTGTGTGTGTGTGTGTGTGTGTGTGTGTGTG